AAGTAAACTTTGAATGAAATACAATCTTACAAAAACAAAAAATTGAACAATGCATAGAATTAAAATTTAATAATTCAGATTAGTGAATAAATAAATTACTCTAATTCAATGCTAGTTGTTTCAATTATGTGATTTACATTGCTTAACACCCCCCCCCCCTCCCCGCCCATCATACAGTAGCATGAGGAGCAGCTTATTTTTGTTTGGATATCATAACATTTTGTGTTCGATTCTATACCTCAACACAGTTTAATCAGCCTAATTAATTAAAATTTTCCTTTCCTCAGATCAAGGGAACAATCCAGGATTATATGAAGTAAGTGGTAGCCTCATAAGTTTAAATGGTAGTTCTACAGATAACATTAAGCATATTTTTAAATTTTTAATTTGGGATGAACATTTTAGAAATTGGACGTTTGAAGCTAATCTATTCTTTTTAATTTCAACAGGAGGTGAAGCTATACAGAAATGCAAGAGAGAGAGAAAAGTATGTGTCAAATACCATTTTTTTAAAAAGCTTGTATTACTTTAGATGGAAATTCAGTTGTGTTAAATAAATAAATCAAGTTCAAGCTTCTTTAATTTACATCGTAACAGAAGAATTGTGGGGCATTAAATGGCATACATGCAACATTCTTTAGGTGTATTTGATAAACATTTGTTCAACTCATGTAACATTATAGAACATCCAAATTTGAGAAGATGTGTTCTGTTCCTATCATTATGAATATTGCTATGAAATATATGTTAAGGAAGTTAGATTTAATATTTTGAATATTATCGGCATCCTTCCGTCTCGTGAGACGATGGTGCATCACCGTTTGAATCTATTCTCAGAATTATTGTTTAATAATTTTTAAAAAATAGATAAACTATTAATAACATTTGTCAATGTTTAAGATATGACAATATGGCTGATCTCTATGCTGTAATCAACACACTACAAAGCCTTGAGAAAGCGTATATCAGAGATGCTGTTTTAGCTAAAGAGTAAGTTATATGTGATTAATTTCTTTTTTGGACATAATACCACTTTCTTCACTCCTTAATTGTAACAAAATATTATTCAGAGCAATAATAATTATCTAAAAAAACTCCAACAGTAGTTTAGTATTAGATTTTAGAGTTCTACCTTATTGAATATTTTCATAGAGTAACCATATGTGTTTCTTGGTAGAGACTGTTGTGTGCCCTGTATTTCAAAATTCTGGTTTCTAAAAATGACAAATATTTAAAATACAAGCAAAAAATAAATAAATGATGAATGTGATTTGTCTGAACAGGTTAGGCGCAGTTTAAAATGAGGGATGGACACAAATATCTGACTTGCCAAGTTGGCTGTCATCTTTCTGTCATCTTTGAGGGGTTTACCTCTATTCCATCTCTATCTCTCTCCCTCTCTCTCTCTCTCCCTCCCTCCCCCCCCCCCTCCCTTTTCCGTTTTTCCTAAATGGCTGGCTTACTTGGCTTAAGAAAAGTCTGTTTGACCCGGCAGTTTATCCACAGCTTGATGAAAATAGAATCTGCAACATCCAGGCTGACAAAATCCATTTTAAATTTCAAAGATTCTATTAAATACACTTAAAAATTACCATCAGCCAAAGAAAAAAGGTGAAGGATGACATCACAGAAAAAACAACTATTAAATATTATTCAATTTGCTTAACTATGACTTTATAATTCTGTTAGACAATGCCATTATAGGCCACATTATAATTCTGTTCATTGTTTTGGTGACTGCTAGGTACACAGCTACATGCTCTAAACTGTTGGTCCAGTATAAGGCAGCATTCAAGCAGGTTCAGAGTGATTTTCCTACAATTGAAGAATTCATGAAAAAATACAGGGTATGATATATGTTAAACTTATTTCTTATTGAATTTCATATAACTGATGTATGCCCTTCTTGATTTGTGTACCTCAAAAATTGTAAATATTTATTTTTATACTAACAGCTTGATTGCCCTGCAGCACTTGAAAGAATAAAAGAAGATAGACCAATCACAATCAAAGATGACAAGGGTAACACAAGCAAGTGCATTGCTGATATTGTCTCAGTAAGCAGAACTTTGTTTTTGCCTCAGATGTATTTAGTTTTTAATGGATTTGTTTTTTACATAACATGTTATCACAGGCTCTTTTGAAAGATGTAGAAATCATATGTTTTTAATTATGAAAAAATTCTTTTAATTTTTTTCATGTTTTAAGCACACAGAAACAAGTACTGAGTTGACAGATCATGTCATGTTATAAATTCATAATATCTTTATATCAATAGATATATACGACCCTGTTTGTATATCTCAACCCCATACTTATCAAACGGTTATCCATGGTATACCTTAAGTACTAGTGTTGAAAAGAAATGTAAATAGCTTCTTTAATATTTTCATTTCCATATTT